CTTCTGTTTCATGAGAAACTATTTGTTCTGTAAGCCTTCACCTGAAGTACAATTAAAAAAAATTAAATTAAATTAAAAAATAAAATAAAATAAAGAGGTCTTTTGCAGCAGATTTAACCAATACACTATGTTGTTTGATTTCTTGACTGCTGCTTCCATGCGTGTTGATTCTTGATCCAAGTAGAATAATTCTTTAACAACTTCAATATCTTCTCTGTTTGTCATGATGTTGCTTATTGGTCCAGTTGTGAAGATATTTTTCTTTATGTTAAGGTGTACTCCATAATGAAGGCTGTAGTCTTTGGTCTTCATCAGTAAGTGCTTCAAGTCCTCTTCACTTTCAGCAAGCAAGGTTGTGTTATCTGCATATCACATGTTGTTAATGAGTCTTCCTCCAGTCCTGATGCCATTTTCTACTTCATATAGTCCAGCTTCTCAGATTATTTGCTCAGCATACACATTGAATAAGTATGGTGAAAGGATACAACCCTGACACACAACTTTTCTAATTTTAAACCACTCAGTATCCCCTTGTTGTTTTTGAATGACCGCCTCTTCCTCAGTGTACAGGTTCCTCCAGAGCACAATTAAGTGTTCTGAAATTCCCATTATTTGCAATGTTATCCATAATTTGTTATGATCCACATAGTCAAATGCCTTTGTATCGTCAATAAAACACAGGTAAACATCTTTCTGGTATTCTCTGCTTTCAGCCAAGATCCATCTGACATCAACAATGCTATCCTTCATTCCATGTCCTCTTCTGAATCCAGCTTGAATTTCTGGCAGTTCTCTGTCGATGTACTGCTTAATCATTTTTGAATTATCTTTAGCAAAATTTTACTTGTGTATGATATTAATGATATTGTTCGATAATTTCTGCATTCCATTGGATCACCTTTCTTTAGAATAGGCACAAATATAGATTTCTTCGAGTCAGTTGGCCAGATAGCTGTCTTCCAAATTTCTTGGCGTAGACAAGTGAGCACGTTTAGGATTGCATCTGTTTGTTGAAACATCTCCAATTCCTGGAGTCCTGTTTTTCAACAATGCCTTCAGTGCAGCTTGGACTTCTTCCTTCAGTACCATCAGTTCTTGTTCATTTGTTACCGCCTGAAATAGCTGAATGTTGATCAATTCTTTTTGGTACAGTGAAGAGTCACTGTACATTGCATATTCCTTCCATCTTCATTTGATGCCTCCTGTGTCGTTTAGTATTTTGCCCATAGAATCCTTCGAAATTGCAACTCAAAGCTTGATTGTTTTTTTTTTTTTTTTCAGTTCTTTCAGAGTGAGAAATGTCACACATGTTCCTCCCGGTTGGTTTTTTAAATCCATGTCTTTGCACATTTCATTATAATACTTTACTATGTCTTCTCGAGCTGCCCTTTGAAATCTTCTGTTTAGCTCTTTTACTTCATCATTTCCTCCATTCACTTTAGTTACTCTACATTCAAGAGTAAGTTTCAGAGTCTCCTCTGACATCCAGTTTGGTCTTTTCTTTCTTTCCTGTCTTTTTAATGACTTCTTGCTTTCTTCATGTATGATGTCTTTGATGTCATTCCACAACTAGTCTGGTCTGCAGTCATTAGTGTTTGTGATGGTTAAGATTGTGTTTCAGCTTGGCTGGGCCATGATTCTCAGTGTTTTAATGTGATCACTCCAATGACTGAATATACTGTGAGTAGCCAATCAGATGAAAGGGAGTCTCCTTGGGGGTGTGGCCCACATCTGAATATAAGCAGATGTTCTGGCCTTTTGCTGTCTCTGGATCCTGTGGCTGCCCTCGTCATCTCATCTCTGGTTCTTGGGACCTGAGTTGTCAGCTTATCTGCCGAACTTGGGATTTGTCAATCTTTGCAGCCTGTGAGCGGGAGCCCTGCTCTCTGACCTGCTGATCTTGGGCTCACCAGCTTCTGCAGCTGTGTGACTTGGGAGGGGCCTCTACCCTGATCCATGGACTTGAGACATTCTAGCCTCTACAATCACGTGAGCTGTTTCCTTGTATAAATCTCTCTCTCTATATATATTTATATGTGTTACTAGTTTTGCTTCTCTAGAGAACCCAGCCTAGGACAGTGTTCAATGTGTCAAATCTATTCTTGAGATGGTCTCTAAATTCAGGTGAGATATACTCAAGTTTGTACTTTGGCTCTCATGGACTTATTTTAATTTTCTTCACCTTCAGCTTGAACTTGCATATGAGCGATTGATGGTCTGGTCCATAGTCGGCCCCTGGGCTTGTTCTAATGATACTGAGCTTCTCCGTTATCTTTGGCAACAGATGTAGTTGATTTGATTTCTGTGTATTCCATCTGATGAGGTCCATATGTATAGCTGCCATATATGTTGTTGAAAAAAGGTATTTCCAACGTATAGGTCATTGGTCTTTCAGAATTCTGTCATGCAATCTCCAGTGTAATTTCTATCACCAAGGCTGTATTTTCCAACTACTGATCCTTCTTCTTTGTTTCCAACTTTCACATTTCAATCACCAGTAATTATCAATGTATCTTGGTCACGTGTTTGATCAATTTCAGACTGTAGAAAGAGGTGAAAATCTTCAATTTCTTCATCTTCAGCATTACTGCTTGGTGGGTAAATTTGAATAATAGTCATATTAACTGGTCATTCTTGTAGGTGTATGGATATTATCCTCTATCACTGACAGTATTGTACTTCAGGATAGATCTTGAAATGTTCTTTTTGACAATGAATGCAATGCAATTTCCCTTCAATTTGTCATTCCTAGCATAGCAGACCATATGATTGTCTGATTCAAAATGGCCAATACCAGTCCATTTCAGCTCACTAATGGCTAAGATATCGATGTTTACGCATTCCATTTCATTTTGACAACTTTCAATTTTCCTAGATTCATGCTTCATACATTCCACACTCCAATTATTAATGGATATTTGCAGCTATTTCTTCTCATTTCAAGTCATGCTACATCAGCAAATGAGGATCTTGAAAGCTTGACTTCATTAACATCATTAAGGTCAACTGTACTTTGAGGAGGCAGCTCGTCCCCACTTGTATTTTGAGTGTTTTCCAACCTGTGGGGCTCATCTTTCAGCACTAGAGTAGACAGTGTTCTATGGCTACTCATAAGGTTTTCACTGGCCAGTTTTTTTTTTAGAAGTAGATCACCAGGTCCTTCTTCCTAGTCTGTCTTAGTCTGGAAGCTCTGCTGAAACCTGTCCAACACAGGTTACCCTGCTGGTATTTGAAATACTGGTAGCATAGCTTTCAGAATCACAGCAACATCCAAGCCACCACAGTACAACAAACTACAGACTAGTGGTGGCCTTATATGGTATCCATCGTATATTCCATAGACATTCTAGATCTTTTTCTTTGCTAATTCCTCTGGACTACCACAAGGCACCATCCATCTCACAATAATGATGTCAACAGCCTCTATCTGATCTTCCTAGTTTCATTCCTGCCTCTCCACATAATAGAATCCACTCTCCACACAATAGATGAAGTTATTTTTTTACTGTAAATAATATCATGTCATTTTTCTGCTGAAAGAAAATGGCTTCCCATTGCATTTAGTACAAAGTTCAAATACCTGACCATGGGTTACACATCTCTCTATGGTTAGGGTCCTGCCTACCTCTGTAATCTCCTCTACCTTATTCACCTCACCCACAGCTCACCTTCCCCACTGTGTCCCAACAAACACTAACTTTTTTCCCCTATGCTTGAAATATGCCAGTATCATTTCACCTTAGAGTCTTTTTACTATGTATACATATATACGTATAAATTTTTTTTTTTTGCTGAAATTGTCTCCCAATTTATCTTCCCACTTCTGGCTTCTCATTGTCATTAATATATCTGCTTAAGGGCTGACTCTTTAGAGATGCTGTTCTTAACCATCTATTCTGAAATGACCATAGTTACTCAATATCACATCACTCCATTTGATCCTCTGCAAAGCACTTATTACCATCTGATATTTCTATATTTGTTTGTTTATGTGAGCTTCTTAAGCACATGGACCATGTCTATTTCATTGCTGTATCCCTATTGCCCAGAGAAGTGTAGGTGCTTACTAAGTATAATCAATGTTTTGTTTCTAGGGAGAGCGTGTGTGTTGGGGGGAGGGGATAAGTATGTATCTCTCAAGGTAATACTTGAAATTCTATCTTCAGTAATTTGTTTTGTTAATGGAAAAGTTTCACCTGTTAAAAGATAAACACTTCCAGAAATGCAACATAATAAACTTTGATGTTTTATTATTTAATATGAATCCTAAAATTAATAAGTAGCCATCTGCTACTTTTTCATGGGACAATGCACTATAAAATGTTTTTTTTTTTTTTTTTTTGAGAAAGTAAAAAAAAACAGTATCTTAGAATGTAGGAAACAGATCCAGGGCTGCCTGAAGAGATAAGTGTTTTGGCAGTTCTGGCATTGCACTATCGTAAAGAAGGTTATATTCACCAGGATGGGAATAAAAAGCTACTAAAAGGACAATGGAAGAATGCTGAAGTCATAGTCTCTCTATTTCTTGGCAGAATGACAAGGAAAGTATACTGTTCAAAAAATCTGAAGACTTTGGAGTTAGCACCAACTCTTCTATGAATTAGTTGTGAAACCATCTAATCTCCAGTCAAATAAAGGAGTCAGACTAGAGTATTACTGATGTCCCTCCTAGCTGTAACATCCTGAGTTTTGTCTGCACATAATCCTAGCTATTGAGTTGGAGTTAAAATGGTAATACTGTCATCCTTTAGTCCAAGATATCAATCAACCTTTCAGAAAAGTACACATTTCAAATAAACAGATGATTCTTGCAGAAAAAGATGTTGTCTTAGTAATTTTCCTTCTTATATTTCAGAAATCCAATGACCAGAAGGTTCAGAAAAATAAGAAATACATAGAATATTATTTGGTCCTGGATAATGGTGAGGTAAATATATATTAGATAAATGTGTCTTTTAAAACCCCCTTCTATGTAAATTTATTTATTATGTGAGATAGTAAATGTTCTGAATCAGTCTTCAAAAATCATGAATTTGAGCTATGGTTACAAATTGTTCTGAACCTATGAAATTTAACATTTATTATAAAACTGATATTATTTCTCCTTTTCAGATATTTACACCTGGTATAAAATGCATAAATTGAAATTTTTTACACTAGGATGCTCTTTTCTTATCGTGTTAAGACTCCAAACTCAGTTTCCAGTTAAATCCCTTTGTCACCTTATCTTCTATCAAATAGTTAAATCATTTGTAAATTAGAATTTATGCTCATCAGACAGTGGTAAATATAAAAGACTGAATTAAATCTTCTGAAAAATGCAAACCTTTGGTAATATTCACTGTTTTTCGTCTTTTATAAGAATACATGTTCATATATTGGATTTTCTAAAAGCAAGGTCCGTAATATGTGATCTCAAAAAGAAAAAACTTATGCTATAAAAATATGAGTAAATTTATTACTTCAAGTCCTAAAACATTGGCCTCTTTATTGTACTGCATTTGCTTAATGCTCATTTAAAAAAAAAAAAAAAAGCTGTTCCTTGCATTGATTCTGCACAGCTTAAGTAACCATGGTACACAACTGGAAATATGTTTGAAATAATTCTGCAGAGCCTTACATTGAGCTAGTACTTCAAAAAATGAAACAGCTCAAAAAAATAATAAAACATCTCTATGCCCAAAGTGCTTTAATATAGTTATAGAAATAAGGAAGCAATTGGTTTCTAACTTATTACTGTTAACTTTTATATCTGATCCTTAACTCTAACTACCGATAAGTAATATATACTAACGTTGCCTTTTAAAACTTCCAATTAATTTCTATTAATTCTCATATTTTGTCTTGTTTTTTTTTTTTTAGTTTAAAAAGTACAATAAAAATCCAGAGGAAATAAGAAAGAGAGTTTTTGAGATGGCCAATTACGTCAACATGGTACGATATATTTTACTAAATATAATTTTTAAAAATAATTTCTTTTATTTTTTTGCCGTTGTTGAGAATATACACAGCAAAAAGATACACCAATTCAAGTTTCTATATGTATAATTCAGTGAATTGATTACATGTTTTGAGTTGTTCATCCATTCTTTCCCTCCTTTTCTGAGTTGTTCCTCCCCCATTAACATAAACTCACTGCCCCCTAAGGTTCCTATTTAATCGTTTGAGTTGATGTTGTCAATTTGATCCCATATAGATCAATCTTAAAAGAGCATAATGCTCAAGGCAGACATTCTTGACTAGTTAAGCTAGACTTTTGTTTGGTTTTAAGAAGACTTTAGGGAATATTTTTGGTTTAAAGATTATCTTAAGGTAATAGTTTTGGGGGTTCATCCAGCCTCTCTGGGTCCAGAAAGTCTGGAATCCATGAGAATTTGAAATTCTGTTCTGCATTTTCTTCCTTTTGATAAGGATTCTTCGTAGAATGTTTGATCAAAATGTTCGGAAATGGTAGCTGGACACCATCCAGTTCTGGTCTCATGGCAAAGGAGGCAGTTTTTCATGGAGGCAATTAGCTACACATTCCATTTTATCCTCCTATTCCTGACTCTCCTTCTTCCTCTGTTGCTCCAGGCTAATAGAGACCAATTGTTGTGCCTTACGGCCACTTGAAAGCTGTTAAGACCCAAGCCACTATGCAGCAAACTAGGAGATAAAACAGAAGCACTAAACATGTTATTAGGCCATTAATTGGGATGTCCCATGAAACCATAGCCCTAAATCTCCAAACCAAAGAACCAAATCCCATGAGGTATCTGGTTGTACCTAGCAGCCTTAGTAGCTACTCTTTTATTAAATATAATTTTAAACAATTTTCCGTGAGGTGTCATTGAGCTTCTCTATGAATGCTCATGAAGCAGGGGAGGAAAGCTCAGACCCCTAAGACTGGCTTATGAGTGGTGATCACTGCTTCATTGAATATTAATATTGCATAATAGGGAATTTTCTCACCTACTTGCCACTTCACATACTATTCTCAGGTCCATGAAGATATAAAAGCTGTTTTTTTAGTGTGATTTTTTGTTTTGTTTTGTTTTGTTTTATTTTCCTAAAGCTTGGTAAGAAAATTCTGAAAAACAAATCCCAGTAGAAAGTTGATAGAAAGAAGAAAAAGGAAAAAAGAAAAAAAACAAAATACTTCAACTCCTAGCATTTTTGATATGCATTATCTCATTTAACACTCAAGACAGACCTGAGAAGGATATTGCTAAGCATAATTTGCAGCTAAAGAACTACATCCTGGGAAGCAAAGTAACTTGCTAATAATTGTCAGATTTCAAAGCCCATTTGGATTGTAAAACTGTTGGTGTATTCCTTAAACATAATTTTGTCATCTAATTTTCAAAATCTTTATAAAAGGATTATTCGATCCCTTTTAATTAAATCTTAATTGTTAATTTCTTATTAGTTGAGTAGTTGACATGCATTGTTCGAAACAATGGAGTTATTTTGTGGTATCCTGCAAATTCTCTAAGAATGTAAAGAAAATAAAGGTAGATTAAATGACCAAAGTCATATCCCTTCCTCTTATCACAAAGATTACATCCATTCTTTTTTAAGAAACTCTAAGAATTGGTCATATTTATTGAATACCTACTTTGTGCCAGGTACTTTTCTAGGTTATGGGGATAAAGTGGGAACAAAAACAACAAATATATAATCCTTCAAGGAGTTTACATTCATGTTCAAGGATAAAAACATAAACAAATAGATAATAAAATAAACAGTATGTCATATAGTAATATGTACTATAAAGAAAAAAGTAAAGTAGGGTAAAAAAGAGAGAGATTCATCGTGGGTACTAAGTTATATAGGGAAGACCTCTCTAATAAAGTGGCATTTGAGTAGAAACCTGAAGGAAGGAATCGTCATATCTGGAGGGAAGAGTGTGTGAGGCAGAAGGGTGTGTCAGAGCAAAGGCACTGAGGGTAGGGTCTTGTTCGTCAAGTTTGAAGTACAATAAAGAGGCCAATGTGGCTGAAATGAAGTGAGCCAGGATGAGGGTAGGGGGCGATGACTTCTGAGAAATAGTGGTGGCCAGACCATGAAGAACTTTGAGGTCCTGTGCAAGAACTTTGACTGTTACTCTGCACATGATGGGAAGACATTGGAAAGCCTGGGCTGGGTTTGATATAATCAGATGTATGTTCTTAAAAGATTACTTTGACCATTAAGCTGAAAAGAAACTGAAGGAAAGCAAGAGGACTAGTAGAAGAATCATTCCATAATTCCGGGCAAGAAATGACGATGGCTTGGGCAAAAGCGGTGATAATGAGTTTGGTGAGAATAGCTGAGTTTAGATAGAGTTAACAGGGTTTAGGGGGGCGGGGTGGGAGACTAAGAAAAAAAAAAAAGGACTCTGGCCTGAGGAATTTCAAGAATAGGAAGAATAGCATAGGAGCATGACTGGGGAGAAAGATTGGGGCTTCTGTTTTGGATACATTAAGTTTGAGATATCATTTAAACATCCTACTGGAAATGCTGACTAGTTTCCTGGAGATACAAAATTGGAGTTCAGGAACGAGTACTGGAAGGAGATATAAGTGTATAAGTCTTCAGCTTATTTAAATGATATAGGCTAGGGGTCAGAAAACTATAGGCTGTGAACAAAATCCAGCCTGCTGCCTTTGTAAAATAAATTTATTTCAACAGCCATGCCATTTGTTTACATACTATCTATGACTGCTTTCCTCCTACAGTGGCTGAGGTGAGTAGTTGTGACGAAGAATATATGTCCCGCAAAGTCTAAAATATTTACTATCTGGCCCTGTACAGATAAGATTTGCCTATCCCTGGTTTATGATCCCCAAGGGCATGGAGCTAGATAAATGGAATAGAGACCTAAGCACTGAGCCCTGGAGTACTTCTTTGATTACAGGTCAGAGTGGAGGAGAAACTACCAAAGAAACCAAGAAGGGGTAGACAGCGAGGTAGGTGGAAACCTGGAGACAGTACTGTTCTGGAAGCTACTTGAAATGAAAATCTATCAAGAGGAGGAAATGGCAAATGATATTAAATGCTGCTGAGGACTGAGAATAGATCACTGGATTTAACAAAGTAGAAATTATCGACCACTTTGACAAACCCAGTTTTATGGAGTATAAGATTACAAGCATAATTAGAGTGAATTCAAGAGAGTATGAGAGAGGAACAATTAGAGACAGAAAACACTTTCAAGATGTTTTGCTATTAAGGGGAGCAGAGAAATGAGACACAAGTCAGAGGGGGAAGTGGCATTAAAAGAAGTGGGTATTTTTCTTCCTAAAATGGGACAAATTATAGTTCCTTCTTATGCTGATAAGAATGATTTGATGGAAGATTACTCATGGATAGTTCAGGAAAGAGAGAAAAGTTTCTGGAGTAATACCCTTGATTAGGAGATAGATGTGCCACCTAAGTTGGCCTTAGGCTGACTGGCCATTCATCCATATAGTATGGAAGGGGAAGCACAGGGTGTCTGGACAAGCATAGGTAAGGGGGAAGAGGTGGTGATGGGAACTTCTGGAACTCCTCTTCTGATTGATTGTAAACTCTCAGTGAATTTGGAGGCAAGGCTATCTGCTGAAATTGAGGATATAAAAAAAAAAAGTGTTAGAATTTCTGAGAGGAGCAGGTATGAAAAATTGTGCAGAAGCCTTTGAGACTGAATGGGTTTTGAAAACGCAGCAGGTTTGCTGGGGAGTTGTAAGGACCACTTGATGTGAGTAGCCATGACTTTAAAGTGGAGTGGTTGGCACAGCTGTGTTTTCTCCATCTGTCTTCAGAGGCATGGTAGAGGAGAGAAGTAGGGGAGAATTGGTTTTAACTAAGGTTGGGTGTTTGTCAGATGAGTGAAATAAAACAAGAAAGAAACAAGGAAGTTGAGGTAATAATCATGGAAAGGATTATAATCTGGTTGGATTTCTACTTCTCTTTTGATAATAATTGCATCCTTCAATGCTTTTATTGTTTTCCGAACTACTCTTTTTTAAAAAATTTCTTCAGGTTTCTCAGCAGAAAATTGCTTCATGAGAAGGTCTGTCACTGTGCAGTTTTATAAATCATACTAACTAATTAAGCATTTATCTTAATTACAGGCATATTGTCTCATAACTTTAACCCTTTATTTCTGAGGTTTGTCCCCTATGCTTTGCAGTTTATTTGTCTCAGTCCTGGTTTAAGAATTAGAACTTACTTATCTTTTTTTTTGCTTAATACGTTTTTTTTAATTGTACTTTAGATGAAGGTTTACGGAATAAACTAGCTTCTCATTAAACGGTTAGTACACATATTGTTTTATGACATTGGTTACCAACCCCACAACATATCAACGCTCTTCCTTCTCAAACTTGGGTTCCCTATTACCACCTTTCCTGTCCCCTCCTGCCTTCTAGTCCTTGCCCCTGGGCTGGTGTGCCCCTTTAGTCTCATTTTGTTTTATGGGCCTGTCTAATCTCTGGCTGAAGGGTGAACCCCAGGAGTGACTTCATTACTAAGCTAAAAGATTGTCCAGGGGACATACTCTCAGAGTTTCTCAAGTCTCTGTCAGGCCAGTAAGTCTGATCTTTTTTTGTGAGTTAGAATTCTGTTCTACACTTTTCTACAGCTCTGTCTGGGACCCTCTGTTGTGATCCCTGTCAGAGCCGTCAGTGGTGGTAGCCAGGCAACATCTAGTTGTGCTGGACTCAGTCTGGTGGAGGCTGCGGTGGTTGTGGTCCATTAGTCCTCTGGACTGATCTTTCCCTTGTGTCTTTGGTTTTCTTCGTTCTCCCTTGCTCCCGAAGGGGTGAGACCAGTGGAGTATCTTAGATGGATGCTCACAAGTTTTTAAGGCCCCAAACGCTACTCACTGAAGTAGAATCTAGAACATTTTCTTTATAAACTGTGTTATGCCTGTTGAGCCACGTGTTCCCTGATACCATGGTCCCCACAGCCCTCAGCCCAGTAATTCGGACCCTCAGGGAGTTTGGATGTGGCTATGGAGCTTCCATGACCTTGCCTTGGACAAGCTGTGCTGGCTTCCTCAGTATTGTGTACTGTCTTACCCTTTATAGTCTTACTTATTGTGATTCACAGATGTAGGACTTTTTCATATAGTGTGGAACTTCTTCAATACCAAAATCAGCACTGAGCCAGCTTTGCTAATTCTGAAATATTAGGACTTTGAGAACATTCAAAAGCATATGAGTAAATATACTTAAAAGAAGCCATAGTAATGAGCCATTAGCACAAAATTATAATTTCTTGAGGTTGCAAGGAGAAGTTTATTTCAGTAGGGACTTTTCTCCAAAAAAGAAGTTTAAAACATGAAACCTCTAAGGGTGTCTGCTCTGCCTTAGAATGGGGATGGTAGTATCTGCAAAAATAGATAACTTCTGTTTCACAACTATGTTTAGAAAGAAGGTATTTACAGTGTTGTTATAAATAAGTTTGAAAATATAAAGCACATTGGAAATATTAAAAGACAATGTCATCATTATAAAGTGTTTCTTTGCCATTTATCTCTCTGGACAGCTTTATAAAAAACTTGATACTCGTGTGGCCTTAGTTGGTATGGAAATCTGGACAGATGAAGATAAGATAAAGATAACTCCAAATGCAAGCTTCACCCTGGAAAATTTTTCTAAATGGAGGGCGAGTGTCCTCCCAAGAAGAAAGCACCATGATATTGCTCAGTTAATCACGTATGTATAGATTTTCCCCTTTGCACACTACATAATATTCATCATTGAAGCTTTTCAAAGACTTGGTAAAGAAGGTATCTGAAAATATAGGGTAAGAGGAAGGGGTTTACACAAAAAGGATTAAAAGTTCAAAACACACTCATTTGAATCTTATGTTGAATATGCCCTTACTTTTGATACAAATATATTTTTAACAGAAACCAGTAATTGTCCAATGGTTTACATAAAGCTTGTCAGTTTTTATTGGATATACAGAAAGGAAAGACAAGTTTAGACAATAGCAAAAGGGATTTACATTCAGCTTTTAAAAAGAACTCTTACGCTTTGGGCTCTATTCAGGAGAAACATTTGGGTTAGAAAAAAAAAAAAGTGAATATTATCTTCTAATCCCACACCTCCACTGTTATGGACTGAAGTACGTTACCCCTAATATGTGTTGGAATCCTAACCCCTATGGATATAATCCTGTTTAAAAATAGGGTTTTCTTTGTTATATTAATGAGGCTCTATTATTGTAGAGGAAATGCTGGTGGTGTACTGGTAAAGTGCTATGGCTGCCAACCAAAAGGTCAGCAGTTTGAATCCACCAGGTGCACCTTGGAAACTCTATGGGGCAGTTTTATACTCTGTCTTACAGGGTTGCTGTGAGTGGGAATTGACTTGAAGACAGTGGGTTTGGTTTTGTTTATTAGTATAGAGTATTTCCTAGACCTAACCACTTCTGAGTTATAAAAAGAGCAGATTAGACTCAGAAACACACTGACATGGGGGAAGGTAGATGCTGCCTAGTGACGGAGGCAGATAAATCTACAAGTCCAGGAACTCCAAGGATTGCTGGCTACTAGAAGCTGAAATAAACAAAGAAGGACCTTCCCCTTAGAGCCAAACCTGAATTCAGACTTCTAGACTCCTGAACTGTGGAATAATACATCTCTGTTCTTTAAATACAGCCATGCCATATTTCTGTTACAGCAGAAGTAGGAAACTAAGACATCTACCATCATGCTGAAATGGGACTAACTTAAAAAAAAAAATTAAGGGAAATTAATGACTATAAATTACACAAGACTGCTGAGCATCTAAATTCTATTGGATGATTTGCAGTGAGAATCAGATAGAAGGAAGCAGAAAGAGTGATTTGAGATTACTAGAGAGTTCCTCTTCCTGAGACAGTGGTGGGTGTCATGGAAAATAAGTGGGCTATGTCCTGTCATAATTAATTGATATTTATGTACTGGTTATCTATTGATGCATAACATCTCAGCACAAGACTTACTGACTTAAAATAAGTCTACTTTACTTATATGTCTCATGTGTGGGCTGGCATGCTGGAATAGTTTAGGCTGGTTGATCATCTTTCTCTTGCTATACAGCCTTTCATGTGGCTAACTTGGACTTCCTCCAACATGGCAGTCTCAAGGAAGTTGGACTTCATACATGGTGGCTAGCTTCTCCCAGAATAAACATTCCAAGAGGATCAGAAGAAAGCTTCAAGGCTTCTTATGACCTAAGCTCTGAAGTTACACAGTATCACTTCTGGTATACTCTGTTGGTCAAGATTAAGTTAGAGGGCCAACCGAGATTCAGTGGGAAGGCATTACTCAGAATGTGAATACTGCAAGGCAGGCTCTTTGGAGGTCTCCTGGAGAATAGCTGCCACTTTGCTTAATTTGGGAAGTTGAGTTCTAGACTCAAGAGTCTACCATGTGAAAGAGCTCATTCTTAGTGCAGAGGTTTAGTGATTTTCCAATATCTCATAGCCAGTAAGTAGTAAGAGACTTGAACTCTTCCTAGACTGGCTGCAGGGGCTATGCTGAAATCTTGTTGTACTCCCATACTGTAGAGGAACAGGGTAGAAAGAAAAATTATCAAAAGGATGATAGAAGTATAGGTAAATAATGGCAGTCCAATATCAGTAACAGATTTCTTGAAGAGGGCAAAATAAAACAGTATAAAAACACTATTTAAAGATATAATAGAGGAAATATTTGTCTTTCCATTTGTAAATTGAAAGTCTTATCATTTACTAGATAAATTAACAAAAGATAACCTATACCTAGACATAACCAGGTAAGAATGTTAGAGTTTAATATACTCCACCTACTAAGAGGAACCAAAGTAGAAAATTTCTGAATGGGAGGAGATTTTATTTTTTACCAGTGAGCTATGTTTCTGTACTGGTAATCTATTGTTGTATAATATCTCAGCACAAAACGTACTGGCTTGAAATAAATCTAGTAGTGAGAATTGAAACCACACAAATGTAGAATTAAGTATAAATAAGTTTACAATATAGTGTCAAAGGAGAGTACAAATATTGTAAATCTTTAAAATATGTATAATGTAAAATATAATTTCAAAATAACAAATAATCTGAAATATCAGATTAAATAAAGGGATAAAACTCTGCAGAGAATGGAAAGTGGGAGGAAGTTCTCTAACTTCCTGTTTTGCATGGCAGAGTCAGTACTCTCTATTCTTGATATTGGTAGGTGGGAAAATATAGGTTCAATTTTTTACACAAATGAATTTAATAGAGGAATTAAAAAAATCAATGTATGCATTGCAAATTTCTAGAGACAAACAAGAACCAGGATCTTGTAAAGTTAGCAAAAGAACAAAAAGAAAGTGAAAAGCATAGAACCCTTACAAATTATAGAAAAAACAAATGAAACAAAGCAAACCAAAAAAAAAAAATTCTAAAGACTAGACAAGTCATCTATGTAACTAAAGGCAAATGGTTCAAACCCCTCTTCAGTCGGACAAATATTTCAATATCATAAATTTTTAATAAGACAGATACTTTCAGAATGGTCCAAATTCAAAATCTCACTGAAGCTAAAACAGCATTAAACAAAAAAAAATGGATATAAAAATATATAAGATAAATATATAAATGAGAAAAAAGCATGTGTGGCAACACTAACAAAAATAAGGTAGAAGAAAAAACTTATTAGGACAAACAACATTTTTTTCTTGATAAGGAATTAGTTTCACATTTAAAATATAATAATTATTAGTGAGAGATAGAAAATATTAAAAGTAATTATAGCCAGGTACTTGGATTTCAGGTGATATGAGAACCATTTTATAGAAAAAAATGCCTCATGGAAATTCAAAAATTGAAGGAAAAATTTAAGAGTGAGGGTTCACAATGTGAGTTTCTCTGCTCACTATTTAGAGGCCTGGAAGAATTGTCTATAGAAAATATAGCTTAGAATCATAAGTTGTTATATCAATTTATTCCTTTATTGCAGGGCAACAGAACTTTCTGGAACGACCGTAGGCCTTGCTTTCATGTCTACAATGTGCTCTCCTTATCATTCTGTTGGCATTGTTCAGGTTTGTTTGAAGATGAACTGTTGGTTCTACAGTTCATGCTGTCTACTTTCTTTAAAATAAGAATCCTCTATGATCATGAAAAGGAGCCCTGGTGGAGCAGTGGTTAAAACGATCAATTGCTAACAAAAGGTAGGCAGTTCGAAACCGCCAGTTGCTCTGCTGAAGAAAGATGTGGCAGTCTGCTTCCGTAAAGATTTACAGCCTTGGAAACTCCATGGGGTCGCTATTAGTTGTAATCAACTCGATGGCAATGGCTTTTCTGTGATCATGAATGTAATATATACTTCTATAAACACCCAAGATTTAGAGACCAAATTAAGCTAATATGTACTTAGCAACTAATTTGCTATGACTGTACAAAGAGTTTGGAAAAGGAAAAAAATAATGCAAGTCTGAGGAGTTGGTGAAGAGATGACAGGGACAGTGGGATCTTATCTGGTCTTTGAAGGAAGGATATGGCTTATGCAGGCCGTAGGACATATTGTTGTTGTTAGGTGCCATCCAGTTGCTTCTGACTCATAGTGACCCTATGGGACAGAGTAGAACTGCCTCATAGGTTTCCCAAGTAGCGACTGGTGGATTCGAACTGCTGACGTTTTGGTTAACAGCCGTAGCTCTTAACCACTGTGCCACCAGGGCTCCTGCAAGATATATTAGGTGGGAAGAATGTCTGAGCAAAACTGTGAATACAGATGAGTGCTGACATGTGGGGATCCTGGCTTGACTTGGAGTGGAGGTGAAAACCTCTCTCCAATCATCTGAAATGATGAGTAAGGTGCCTCTTATAACTGGGTTCAGGTAGGCGTATCAAAGAATATTTTTGAGTGCTGTTCTTAGTGTGTCAAGAGTATAAAAACAGAAAATAAAATGGCTTCATTACCTCATCTCCAATACACTTGGAGAATTGACCATATGATATCTATAGAAAAGTTTAAAATCTTAGGGTACAGTTCCTTGATAAAAGTAGCTGGAAGAAGAGTTTGTTTGAGACATGAAAGGGAAAGGGTGAAATGTGTAGGAATATTCAAAAAAGAGAGGAGAGGTCTCCGATTTTCTACAGATGGAGGAACCATGCTTATCTGGAAAAGGGGGAGAGAGGTGAGACAAGTTTGCAAAGGAGTTTAGTAAATTTAAAGCAACATGTTGTAAGCAGTATTTAGTGAGAATGGAAGAGAACTTTCATCAAAGTAGACAGTAATATTTCATGTTTTTAGTGTACAGAGAATTGAGATTAGGGAAGAAGACACAATAATTCTATCATGAACTAAACACATAACAGATTAAGATATATGGACAATGAGAAACCTGCTTGAATTATTCAAGGCCTTTACTTTATACATGTTTATTTTTAAAAGTCAGGACTATTGAGATGTAATTTATGTACAGTAAAATTTATCTTTCTTGTGTATAGTTCTGAGTCTTTAGAAGTACTTACAGTCATACAACCACCATCTCTATCAAGACACAGAAAATCTTTATCACCCTGAAAATTTCTCCTGTGCCGTTGTATAGTCAACTCCTTCCTCCGCCCCTACCCGCTGGGAACTATAGGTCTGTTTTCTATCCCTATAGTTTTGTGTTATAAAGAATGGACTCATATAGCAGGTAGTTTTATGAATCTGGCTTTTTCACATAGCATAATTATTTAAGACTTACTCATATTGTTGCATATATTGGTATCATGATGTCATGCTACTTTTTATTAGATTGAAGTGGAAAGTTCTCTTCTATTCCTAGCCTGCTGAGATTTTTTTTTATCATGAATGAATATTAAAGTTTATCATTTTTCTTTTAAGTCTTATAAGAAGATCATATAGTATTTCTATTTAAGTCTGTTGACATAGTGAATGGCATTCACTGAATTTCAAATGTTAAACCAATCTTGCATTCCCAGAATAAACCCAATAAGGCCATAATGTATTATCTTTTGTATGTATTGCTTGATTCAATTTTCTAATTTATCCTGAGAATTTTTTCAATATTCATGAATGATATTAATTGGTAGTTTTCTTTTCCTATAGCGTATTTTTTAGGGTTTGTTATTAGGGTACAGCTGGCCACAAGAAATGAATTGGGACGTGTTCACAACTCTTCCATTTTCTACAATATACCTGAAATATTTATACAATTCATCAGAGCCTGGAGTTTTTGTGAGAAGGAATTTAATTACAAATTCAATTTTTACCATAGATATAGGGCTATTCAGGTTCTCAATCTCTACTTGAGTGAGCCTTGGTAGTTTGTGTCTTTTAGAAAATTTTTCCACTTCATTTAAGTTGGCATAAATTTGTTAATATTCCTTTATTATCCTTTTAATATCTGTATACTTTGTAGTGGTACTCCCTCTCTCATTCATGATATTAGTAATTTGTGTGTGTGTGTGTGTGTGTGTGTGTGTGTGCGCATGTGTTTATGCTCAGTCTGGCTAGGGATTTATGTATTTTATTGATCTTCTCTAAGAAAAAGATTTTGGTTTTATTGATAGTCTCTATGATTTTCTTATTCTCAATTCCATTTATTTACGTTCTTGACTTTAATGTTTCCTTCCTTCTGATTTGCATTTAATTTATTCTTCTAGTTTCTTAAGGTGAAATTTTAAATCATTGATTTGAAGGACTTCTTTTTGAATATAAGCAGTAATGCTATAAATTTTCCACTATGCACTGCTTAACTGCTTGCAAATATTTGGATATATGTGTTTTCATTTTCATTCAGTTTGAAATATTTTCTAATTGTCCTTTTGATTTCTTCTTTGATTCATGTGTTACTTATAAGTGTGTTATAATAATTTCTGTTATTGATTCTTAGTTTAATTCTGCTACAGAATGAAAACATACTTTGTAGAATTGCAACATTTTTAAACTTTTTGAAGTTTGATCTTGGTTAATATTCAATATGAACTTGAAAAATGTGTATTCTGCTGTTACTGATCAGAGTGTTCTACAATTGTTAATTGAGTTATGTTGATTGATAGTCTTGTTAAGGTCTTTAAAATCCTATGGAGGTAGACTGTATAAGTATTTAAATGTAATTGCAGATATGTTTATTTCAATTCTATAAGTTATTGCTTCACATATTTTGAAACTCTGTTGTTAGGTATACACAGATAAGGCTGCTATTTCTTCTTGGTAAATTGACCTCTTTATCATGATGTCATGTCCTTCTTTATCCCTTAAATATTCTTTATTCTGAAGTTTACTTTTTCTGATATTAATCTTGAACATTTTGTGGTTAATGTTTACATTATAACAAACTTTACATTACTTTCATTTTTAACATATGTGTGTCTTTACATTTAAAGGTTTCTGGAAGACAGTTCATACTTGGATTTTTTTTTCTTTGTCCAATCCATTGACTTCTGTATTTTATACCTTGTGTTTAGACCGTTTATATCTGTAGGGTTGCTATGAGTCAGAATCGACTCGACAGCAATGTTTTATTTATTTTTTTAATATCTAATATCATTATTGATATTATTGGAGCAAAATCTTCCAGCTTGCTAGTTGTTTTATATTAGTTCCATCTATTCTTCATTTTCTTTTTCTATCTTCTTTTGGTTCAACTGAGTATTATTTAATAATACAATTTTATCTCCACTATTTGCTGTTTTTCAGTCTGTCTATTTATTTTTAGGGATTACCCTAGGGTTTAGCGTATACATCTTTAATTGTTAGTTTATCTTGAAGTAATAATATATTGCTCAATATGTACTGTAAGGACTTTTCAAGAACATACCTCCAATTATTGTCTCCCATCTTCTATGCTATTGTTATCACATATTTAACTTTTATACAAATTATAAATGTACAATACATTGCTACTATTTTTGCTTTAGATAGACAGTTATCCTTTGGTGAAATTTTAAAATAAGAAAAAAATAGGCTTATGTTTGCAAAACTTTATTGCATTCCCAGCACTCTCCATTTCTTTTTGTAGATCCAAGTTTCTATTTAGCATCATATTTTTATTCTTCCAGAAGAATTATTGTATCTTTTAACATTTCTTTAATTCAGATTTGCTGCAATGAATTCTTTCAGTATTTGTATCAGAAAAAAATTATTATTACTTCATTTTTTAATATACTTTCACCAAGTTTATATTTCTAAGTTGACAATGTTTTTATTTTAGGACTTTAATGATTTCACTCCATTTTTTTTTCTGGCTTGCAGAGTTTTTAATTCAAAGTCTGTTATCATCTTTATAGTTATTCCTCTGAAATGTGTCTTTTTTTCTGACTACTTTAAGATTTTCTCTTTATCTTTAGTTTTCTTCCATTTTATTATAGTTAAGGTGTATCTAGGTGAGTGTTTGGGGTATGTGTATGGGCATTTACCCTACTTGGTGTTCCTTGTGCTTCTTGAACCTGGGGCTTGTTGTCTGTGATTAATTTTCTAAAATTATTCACCGTTATTTTTTGAAATATTTTTTCTGTTCCATTCTCTACATTTTATCTTTTTGTGATTCCTATTACACACGTGTGACTATATTTCCTCCACATTTGTATGCTCTGTTATGTTATTTTTATTATTATTTTTTTTAATTTTTACTTTCTTTTCTTTTTGTCTTTCAGTTTTGGTACTTTTTGTTGATGTATCAAGTCCACTCATTCTTCCCTCAGCTATGTTGAATCTACTGTTAAGCCTGTAGAAGACATTATTCATCTCTGTAACTCTGTTTTTCATTTCTAGAATTTCCATTTGATTCTTTCTTATAGTACCCAGCTCTCTGCTGAAATTTCCCATCTATTCTTGCATGTTGTCCATCATTTCCATTTGAATTTTTAACATATTAATAATAGTTATTTTAAATACCATCTGATAGTGTTAACATGTCGTATATGAATGTGGTTCTGTTATTTTTTGTCTTGGCAGGTTATTGGTAGTTTTTTTTTTTTTGTTTTTGCTTGTTTGTTTTGTTTCTTGTATTTTTGTAATTCTTATTCTTTTCTGTTGAAAACTAGGCATCTTGTGAAAGACAATAGACTGAGATTTTATGTCTAT